TCTGATGTAGCAAATTCCACAGGCTGGCCACATTCTGGGTAAAGAAATATTTCCTCATCTCAGCCTGAAATGGTCTACCCTTACCTACTGACATTGTGGTCCTGGTTCTAGACTCTCCAACCAAGGAAAACATCCTCCTTACATCTAATCAACCCAGTTTACACATTTCAATTTGATCCCCTCTCATTCTTCTAAACTCTAGCGAATTCTGGCCCAGTGTAAGCAATCTTTACCCATATAACAGTCCTGCCATCCCCAGTGTTAGCCCAGTGAATCTTCACCACACTCCTATTCTAAGCAAATTCTCTTGAAAGTAAGGAAACCAACACTGCACTCAATATTCCAGGTACAGTCTTACCAAGGTCCTTATAACTGCAGTAAGACACGCCCTACTTCTGAACTTAAATGCTCTTGCAATGAAGGGCAACTTAGTACTTGCCTTCCTAATTGCTTGCTGCATTTGCCTGTTTATTTTCATTGGCTAGTGTAGAAGGTCACCCAGATCCCTTTGAACCTTTACAGTTCCCATTGCATCACCATTTGAACAAAACTCTGCCCTTCTGTTTCCTGCCCGTTCATGTGTCTGTCTAAATGCCTCAAATGTTATTACTGTCTCGCTCCACTTCCCCAAGCACCACGTTCCTGACAGCTACCACCTTCAAATAGGCATGACTATCTCAACACAGGCTTTGCAGACTTCTCACAAAGTAGCCTCAAACCCGAGACCATCCAAATTGCCACACAGTCCTAACTCATACCAAGTCCCTGGCCACTGTCAAACCTGAACCCACTGACCTAAAATGATCCCCAGTTAAGAGATACCTTGATTTGATTGCTCTCACTCTGGTTTCCAAATTATTCTGTAACTTCAACCACCCCCGTTCCAGCAGACAACTTTTCAAGCTATCTGTACTCTTCCAATTCTGGCCTCGAGTAGCCCAGATTTTAATTACTTCACTGCTGATTGGTGTTCAGATGCCAAGGTCCCGAGTTCTGGAACTGTCTTCCTAAAATCAGTGTTTTTCAAACACTTTTTTTTTCTTTTTCAACCAAATGCTTGCCACACAAAAATTTTAGGGCAAATAAGCAATGTCCAATTGTTCCTATAAAGTGCATGGAGCTTTACGAAGTTGTTGCCTTATTCAATCAGTATAAGTCAATGATTTTTTGAGCTAGTTTTGATCATGCAGAGGAATTTTCCAGACATCAACACCCATACCAACCCCCCACTTTAAACTGGTCATGGAACACAATCATTCATGGTTCTTTCAGGAGATTACACAATGCTGGTGGACATGGATGTTCTAAATCATTTTTAATGTATCGTGATTGTGTGAAGCAATCTTGATAGACCAGTTAATCATTGCTTTTCGACCATATGCTTTTATTTTCATACAGTGCATCAAGTCCCTTGAATACAGCACAGATCATCTGCATCAACCTTATTATCCACCTTAAATCTCATCACAAAAGAAGAAATCCCTACTGCATCACTGCTACTTTTTTCATAGCAACAATCCTTTGAGATAAAAATTGGCATCATACAGACAGTTAGCATTACAGTTCCACTAAAATATGGAATTGTGCAAGACAAACTGAGTTCCCGTAGATCATTTGCTACTGGAAGACTGTAGCAAATTTCTTGCCAACACTGAGGTGTGTTCTAACACAGTTACAGAGGTTAGAGTCCTCTAATCCACAGTGCTATTATTTTCCTTTTTTGATTAAAATACCTTAATAAAAGTGAATTATTCCAAAAATTGAATAGTATAGTCAATACTCCAAAGTGCTTTCTTAAAGTGCAAACACGAAAGGGAACTGCTTGGATTATGCAATCTTCTGTTTAGGGGTAATCATGAAAATTTCTCTCAAAATTTGCTGAGAAACTCAATTACTGCATAGAAACGAGTCAGCAAGAGAGTGAATCAGCAATGAGAGTCGTGAAGTTTGGCCGTATTTAACTAGAAAGTAACAATGAGCTGGAAGAACTGAGTCTTGATCAACTCCAAGTCAGAAAACTATAGATTCAAGCCCCACTCTACAGACTAGACAGAAAATGGTGCAGGACCATTTGAGGTAACATCTTTCGGATGAGACGTTAAACTGAGGTCCCAGACAGCTTCTTAGATGGATATAAAAGTTCCACAGCTGTTTGTTGAAACAGAGAGGATTTCTTCCCAAAGACTGGTGTCCCATTCAATAAATACCATTAAAATCCAGTCATTATCAAATTGATGCTCGTGGCCATATATTGGCCATCAGCTTTCCTAAATCATGACAGCAAATTCACTTTAAAAAAAGTACTTAATTGGCTTTGTAAAGTGCTTCGAGTCAACCCAAGGTCATGAAAGTTGCTACGCGTATTCAAAAATCTTTATTTCTATAAAAAAGCAATAATAACAGCAGTACAACTAACATGACTGGTCATGCACATGTACACCAGGTGTGTAAGCAGCCACAATCAGGTATATAGCATATTAGACATGACAACATCAGAAATAAATGCTTTATAATCTGTGCTGATACCTGCCTTTGTGAATACAGCAAGGTTAATTTCATGTTGAATGAAAACAATTTCTTAAATCCAACAATAGACACCAAATTGTCTAGAAACTCTACACTCACATGCTATTTAATTTTTAACTTCTCTTTTCCTGGTTCTGGTTTAAGTATTCAGCTTTCACCTCCTTTAATTTTGGAAACCATTGTTTTACTGAATGCAACACATTAGGAATAAAATGATAAGCCGTTCTCGGTCAGGCTCATATGTCTGTGAGACTCTGCAGCAACACCTTGCTTAAAAGGAAACATTACTACGTCACTGCCTCTGCTGGTTCAAGGTAGTTTTCACCATTTCTCGCCTACACAGAGGCATTATAAAATGAACAACGTCATGCTTTAGATTACAGGAGATGAATCACTGAGCCTCAATAGTCAAACAAAAATAATGAAAAGGAACAATTGCAACATTGCCGCTGTTAAATTACATGATTTTTTCCCCCCTTTTTTACACGCAGGTTACAGCATTCCTAAACATGACTATAGAGTCAGGGTCATACAGTATGGAAACAGACCCTTCGGTCCAACTCGTCCATGCCAATCAAATATCTGAAATTAATCTAGTCCCACTTGCAGCATTTGGCCCAAATCCCTCTAAACCCTTCCTATTCATATACCCATCCAGGCGGCTTTTAAATGTTGTAATTATACCAGCCTCCATCACTTCCTTTGGCACCACCCTCTGCATGAAAAAGTTGCCCCTTACGTCCCTTTTATATCTTTCCCTTCTCTCCTTAAACCTGTGCCCTCTACTTTTGGACTCCCCTACTGCAGGGAAAACACCATCCCTATTTACCCTATCCACGACCCTCCCAATTTTATAAACCTCTGTAAGCTCCCCCATCACCCTCCAATACTCCAGGGAAAATAGCCTGAGCCTATTTAGCCTCTCCCTATAGCTCAAACCCTCCAAACCCGGCAACATCCTTGTAAATCTTTTCTGAAGCCTTTCTAGTTTCGCAACATCCTTCCTGTAGAAGAGAGGTCAGAATTACATGCAATACTCCAAAAGTGGCCAAACCAATGTCCTGTACAGCTGCAACATGACCTCTCAACTCCTGTTACTCAATGCACTGACCAATAAAGGCAAGCATACCAAATACCTTCTTCACTATCCTAGCTACCTGCTACTCTGCTTTCAAGGCATTATGAACCTGCATTCCAAAGTCTCTTTGTTCAGCAACACTCTCCAGGACCTTACCATTAAGTGTATAAGTCCTGCCTTTCCAAAATGCAGCACCTCACATTTATTTAAATTAAACTCTAACCGCAATTCCTCAGCCCACTGGCTACTCTGATCAAGATCCTGTCATACTCGGAGATAATCTTCTTTGCTGTCCACTACACCTCCAATTTTGGTATCCTCTGCAAACTTACCAACCATATCTTCTAGGTTCACATCCAAGTGATTTATATAAAATCATAATTCATTGTACAGACATGACACTAAATAGAATCAATGTCAACTGTAGCTCAGTTGGTAAACTCTGAGCCATAAATTCAAGTCCCACTGTAGGATCTGAGCACAAAAATCAAGCCTGACACAACACCAATACAGAGGGAGTGCTGTAGTGTCAGAACGGGTGTACTTCAGATGAGACGTTAATCTGAGACACTATCTGCACCCGTCTTCCGCCACCTGCCCCGAAATGAATTTACAAGATCCCACACTATTAATTTTGAGCAGCAGCAGGGGAACCATCAGTGGTATCTTGGTACAATATTTATCACTCGGTTAACATCACAAAAATAAATAATTTGATCATTATCACACTGTTGTGTGCAAATTGGCTGTTGCATTTCCCATATTACAACAATGACTACACTTCAAAAAGTACTTCGGCGGATCTAAAGAACTGAGACGTCCGGTGGTCGTAAAAGGCGATACAATCTATATATACACGTAAGCTTTTTTATAAACAGAAATGTAAACAAACTTGAAAAGGTACAGTTTAAGGATTTCAATCCTCTTAAATCATGGTTGGGCCCACTTGGATTATTCAATTCCATAGTAACATATTCAAGATGACACCAAAAGAGAAACAGTAAATCTAGCATTGCTGTGAGGCTGGGGCAAACCTGACAAGCTTAAACAGCAAACAGTATGATAACATAAATCTAAACGCACAAGGAGAAAACAATAATTAAACCGAAACTCATGCGAAAGAAGCCAATTAAAACCCAACCCTAAAGCTAGACTAGACAAAACAATAACTAAACATAAAAGACGGACAACAAACACTAACCCGAGGAACAATAGTCGAAGCTAATGCGGCCGAGGTGAGGGATCATCGATTTAACCTAAGCCCTAAAGCTGAAAGGGAAACTAAGGCCGCAGGAAAAAGATGGAATTCCCCTGTTCCCAATCCCAATGGCATATCTAAAGCCGGTACAGTACCGAGTCGGGGGAGGGGTCAAAGAGAGAGGTTGGGCCTTGGAAATTCAGGCGACAACGCTGCCGGGAAAGAGCCGGTTCCGAGCAGCGAAACAGAAGGCGGCGTCAATTCCTTCTCGTTACCGGCTGGTCTCCGAGTGAAGATAGTGCCTTAGCGCGGACGAAGGGAGGTCAGGACGTCGGCCCATACTCTCTCTCTCTCTCTCCCCACTACCCCCACCAAAAACCATCACCTCGGCTCAAACATTTACCTCGATCTCGAAGTCGGGCAGCGAGAAGGCAGCCCGGAACAGGGAGCAGAAGTGAGCGATGGCCGGCACCTCCCACCAGGAGCGCAGCTTATCCACCGACACTCGGCCTCTCGACCTCACACAGCCCGGCTGCGCCATCGAGCCGCCGCTCCCATCCGGCCCGGGGACACGCGCACACACAGACACCCCCGGCTCCTCTCGCTCGGTCCCTGTTTTCACTGGCTTGACTTCTCTCTAATCGGCCGGTCCCTCTCCGACTTAGCTTCACACCGCTCCGCTGGCCTCTCTTTCCACCGCTGCTACCGCTTCCGCCGCTCGGCTCTCACTGACTGTGACCAACAGCCTGACCGGCCCGCGCCGCGCCGCTTCTACCACCTCAGGAAAGAGGGGTGTTACAGGCCAATTCCCAACTAAAATCGCAGCAAATCAACGACTCATCAACACTAGCAGACACACTGATGGTTGATTTTCATTTTAGTAATTATTTATTGGCTGTAGTTATTGTGCTGTTCTTTTATTCATGTTTATTTGCTTTAACATTACCTTATGTTTTCCCCCGCCTCTGGGTGAGACGATTGTAGGTGCCCAGGGAACCGGAAGTCGGCCCGTTACAATTGGAATCTTGAGCCGGCCGGCTCGCGACCTCTTGAAGCATGGCTGTTTGTAATATTCAGATTGCATGACACTCCTCAAGTTAGGTATCATTGTTATATAGTTACTGATTGTTAAATATGGCACCTTTATGTGTGAGTATGTAGAATGCAAGACCATCTTGAAAGTTATGTTTGTCTCCCCCTGCAGTAGCGGAGTTAAAAAAATAATACTAAATTGTGAAATCACGGACATAGTTAAACTCGTAATTATGTCATGAGGCGAAACCTGCTATGATATCACAGGCTATCCCTACATTACAGACAAATTAAAATAACATTTGTTGATTGGTGATTACACTGTCAACAGGCCTCTGGAATTGAACATTCTTGAAACCAAAAACATATCGACGTCTTCCAGTGACAGTTTTCCGGGATTCCTATTAGTAATGAATTTATTTATCCACAGAATTCTGCAGATTAAGGTATATGGGCATTAAATATAGTGCATATTGTTTTAAAGTTTTAATATTCAAGAAGTGTAGGCTAATCTTATGACAAGTCAAAAGAGCGACATTGTTGTTGAATTGGGAATGATTTTGGAAAAGGCCTTTCAATCTGACTGTAACAATCAAAACGTCCAATTAGACAGTGTAAAACCTCATGCAAAAATGATATTGACGTGTTTGTAAATATATCATATACATTAATACACATTAGTTACTAAAAGACAAGACACTTTTGTGAAAAAACGTGCAAAATAGTGAACTTTGTAGAAATTGTAACCATGCAGGATTGAAATTCACAGATGTTATCCAACAAACCTAGTAGCCTGGGAGAGAAAAAAAACCTCAACTATTTAGTGAGAGGATCTTCTTGTATACCAACTTTGCCTTTCATGTTTGACGTTGTATTCCTCCTTGTCCAACCATTAAAAAAACCTGGCACTTAATACCATGTCTCCCAAAGACTTCCTAACTGCATCACATGCAGTACCAAGAAGAAGTTTGAAGGATGGTGAGTAAAGAAGGTCAAACTTAAACTACATCCTGTCAAAATCAATCGGAGTTTATCTTACCGCTATCTTGAAGAGCAATGATGTAAACACCATGCAGCAATAATGCCAGTTTGGAAAAACTAAGGCCAGTGTTGTGAATAAGTAATTTCAGTTGAATGGTAGGTTTGAATCTCTATCTGGGACATCCTGGGGATGTTGCTAGGGGTACCATGTTGCCATGTGATTAGAGTGCAAGGTGTCAGGTTTGTCTGCTTTCCCAGAGAGGGAGATGGAGATAAAGTTGCCAACATAAATGTTTGGAAACAGCTGAGACGAGTAACAGAAGGCAATCAAAATAAAAGTGTTCTGATTTTGAAAAGAAACAAAGAACTGCGAATGCTGAAAATCAGAAAGGAAAATGAAATTGCTGGAGAAACTTAGGTCAGGCAGGTCCAGTTCTCAAGAAGGGTCACTGGATCTGACGTATTAACTCTGCTTTCTCTCCACAGATGCTGCCAGACCTGCTGAGTTTCTCCAGCAATACGTGTTTTTGTGTTCTCATTCTGGATTCACTGAGCAAGGAAGCAGTGAAGCCTATGCTTGAACTGTGTCATTCACAATCGTGAGGTACATAAAGGGAGTTCGACGGTCACCTCAGCAAATGCTAGTGGAAGGACCCCAAGAGATCTCGTAACTCTTGAGAGTAGCAAAAACATTGAGGAGAATCAAAATTAATCATGAAGAGCTCTGGCACATCTTGGTTTGGACCCAGGATAAATGAAGCAATCCTCAAGATTCTGTAATACTGGGGAGAACATGTGTGGAAATAAAATGTTGAGTATCCTACTGAGACTTTTGGGCTTAAATAATAAAGGTTTACAAAATATAATATTGTATTAGTGCTTTGTTTAATTATTGCACAATAAAAACTTGTGTTTTAAACATGACATCTTGTGACTTGATTCTTTTGGTTAAAGCCACATAATTGAATTTCGTTTTAGGTTAGTGGGCCCCATTGAGATCATAACAATGGTAAATAATCAAAAAGTAATTGTAGTATTGTAGTATAAGCTGATGTTACACAGGAGACACCAGAGAAATTAGGATCTGCATTCTTGAAGTGGTACTATTAATAGGGGAACTTCAGAGATCAATGCCTACATTTGTGTAGTATCTTTTAGAAATGAAAACAGTAAACCTAATTCTAATTCATCCCAAGGTTCTTCATAAGCACATTGTCACTGAGCTAAAAGAGGTATTAAGGGAGGTGACCAAAAAAATTGTCAATGAGATAGCTTTAAGGAATATAAGAAAAAGAGAGACAGAACCTTAAGGAAAGAACTGGAGCTAAACTGGCTTAAGGCATGGATTTCAACAGTGGAACCAAATATGTTGGGATGCACAACAGGTCAGACTTGAACGATAGGATGCTATTTTAATTTTAAAGTTAAGGTGTTGCTGGACTAGGAGCCTATGTTTGTCAACAAGGCTGCTGTGGTGAAGGCAAGTTTGAGATCCCCATGGTATCTGCATCCAGCGCAGGCTCTTGGAGGTGAGTTTGGACCCAGTACGAGACTTGGCAGCAGTTGCATCAGCGAGATGGACCCAGAGTGGACTCTTGGTGGTGGTAGCAGAGTCAAGTTTGGGCCAATGCGGGACTTGGCAGCATTGATGGTGGCTACATTGGCGAGGTCCAGCGAGGAATCACGGTGGTGGCAACAACGGGTGACCCACAACTGGCCACTCCAGGCCCATGGCTGATCACTTAACAAGAAGGACTGTAAAGTTGAACATTATTTTTCTGCCGTTATAAACTATGTTTTGGTTTAATTTTCGGTCTTTTAAGATGTCGCCACTCAACACTTATCACTGTATTTTGTAACAAAATACACGATAATAAAAAAAAATAAATCAAAACAAGAATGTGGTGATGGGAATTTCATGTGAGTTAAGGTAAAGGCAACAGAGTTTTATCTGAGCCAATATTTATGGAGGGTGGATGACAGGAGGCTGGCCTGGAAAGCATTGAATCATCAAGTCTGGAGATAGAAACATCTTAAGAATTTCAGTAGGAAATAGGCTGAGGCAGGCAGCCTTTGTAACAAAGAGGCTAAATTGTATCATACAAATGGTTCAGAGTCCAATACTACATGAGGGTGAGAACTTTTTGATCAAGTCAGTTACCAGGGAGGAGGGAATTGGCAACTGGAGAAGCATTTCTGGTGGGGTGGAGGGGCAAAGACTACATTTAAAAAGGGAAGTTTCAGCTCATCAAGGGCATGGATGTCAGGCAAACAATCTCATAGTATTGAAGTAGAGCGGGATTTTACCAACATACATGAAAAACCTGATATTTTTCAGGTGATTTTGTTGCAGGATATTTTATCAATGAGAAGTAGAAGAGGCACATTGAAAGTTCATCAACAAACTCGAGAGATAATATTGTAAATAGGTAATATTGGAAAGAGAAACCATTACAGTAGATTGCCTTGCTGAAACTCAGTAAGTAAGAGTGGAACCAGACTAAGCAATTACAATCATGGATTAGATAAAAGCAATATTGTAACATGGTGGTATACTCCACAATATCAAAGGTTGTGAAAAAATACAGTTTCTAAGAAGAAGGATATTGCATGGTAACAGTCACAGTGTTATGATAAGACATGCTTTTATCAAGACTAAGTTTGATAGACTTTTGATCTTTTGATCCCTCAGGAAATTGAAGGATATGAAAAGTCGGCAAAAGATTGGAGTTAAGTCCACAATCAGATCAGCCATGACTGCATTGAATGACAGAGCAGGTTCAAGGGGCCGAATGGTCTACTCATGCCCTTTTTTCTTATTTGTGACTCTGGTTGGGACCCTTTCAATTTTGTTTGGGTAGAGACATGATTGAGGAGGTTCAAACATTTAGAATATTGTGGGAACGATGAACATGATTTAGAAAGCAAGAACACATTCATGGACCTGAGAAGAGGGAGGCAGTTGGAGCTGAAGTTCCAGCTGAGAACATTATACATCAAGCATAAAAGTTTGTTTGGAAGAGATAGGAAACAATATAAAAAAGATAAACCCAAAAAACTACTTCAACTGAAATGGGATATTGAGTGCTGAATGTCAGTGACTTGTCAAGCTGGTTGAAAAATTTGCCTTGAAGGAACTTCTTTCAAACCTCATGATGTCCCAAAGGATTTCACTTTAAATATTTTTGAAGCGTAGTCACTAATGTAATGCAGAAATATAATGATGAGAAAGTGATACTATATCAAACATGTATTTTTTAATTAAGATTTTAAACTAAGACCTGACTTTGCTGATATCATGGGTGGCATGGTGGCTCAGTGGTTAGCACTGTTGCCTCACAGTGCCAGAGATCTGGGTTATTTCCAGCCTAGGTGACTGTCTGTATGAAGTTTACACATTCTCCCTATGTCTGTGTGGATTTCTGCTGGGTGCTCTGTTTTCCTATTACGGTCTAAAGATGTGCAGGTTAGGTGGATTGGCCATGCTACTTTGCCCTGTAGTGCCCAGTGGTGCACAGGCTAGGTGGATTAGCATGGTAAATATGGGGCTACAGGGATGAGGTGGGTCTGGGTAGTATGATCTTTGGAGGGTTGGTGCAGACTCAAATCGGCTGAGTGGCCTCTTTCTGCACTGTAGGGATTCTATGATCAGAGCCAATACTCTTCAAACAACACAACTAGAATTAACACAAGACATAACTCCAAAATGTAAAAAAAGGAAACTGCTGGAAATAGTCAGCATGCTTGACAGCATTAACAGAAAGAAATCTTGTCAGAACTGACAGACGTTTTTTCACTATGTTCTGTTCTCCAGTTTCAATGAAAGGTCAACAGCCAGAACTGTTAATCCTGTTTCCTTTTTCATAGAAGCTGTCAAACCTGTTGAGTATTTCCAGAATTTCCTATTTTTATTTCTGTAAAATAAAACTGGTGGTCAGTTGTACAATTTGCTAATTGCAGGACTTTGCTAACATTTTTGCCTCCTAAGTCACTAGTCTGTCATTGTTGTGAAGCAGTTAGAAAGCTACTGAGATACATGGTAATAACTACATGGTGGCAATCTTTCCTCTCTTAGTCAGTCCCTGAGGATCAGTGACTTGTTTTAACTCGAGTTCAATTGGTTGTGAGACAGCTATAAGTCCAGTGTGCAGTCTGCAGAGTTTGCCACATACAGGACAGGTGATGCTTGAAAGGTTGGTAGATGATTTAGGAGTTATTTTAGGAGTTATTTCTGATGTCTCTACTTTGCCTTTGTGAGTTTCTATCAAAATTCCTTGATGTGCAGTCGGTTCTGCTCTAACATGATAATTGTGTTCCTGCGCAACATCACATTATAGAAAGTCACACTATAGAAATAATGGGGCCAATGGGAAAATAGTTAGGGGTGGACCACCAAAAAAATCACTCAAAATTGCTCAAAAATCACTCAAAAGCCTAGCACAAAGGATTGCACAGTTTGAATAAATATTTAATTCATTCTAATGATGAAACAAAAATAAATTCAGTGGCTTACCTTGAAAAAAATGTCAAGATGACTTGATGGGGAAGGAGGTTTTGAGGTTGCTGCATTGTTAATGCAGGGGGCTGAGGGTCATTGTCATCATCATCATCATCACCATCACCTTCAGGTGCAGCTGTGAATGCAGGGTTAGGCTGAAAAATAGTTAATCCAGAAGTGGATGGCTGTGGCTCATTGTCTTCTGACTGTTGCTTGGGGTTGTCTTAAAAAAGACATCCCGTTTTTACTGCTTTGCCCTTTTTCTTCTCTCATGAAGAAGCTGTTCATAGGGTGCCAAATAAGATCTTATTCCACGAACTGCTACCCTGCTGCATTCTGCATTGTAATCATTGTCCAACTGCTTTTCAATTTCCCTCAGGACAGAAGACAAAACAGAAATGGAAAGCTCTTGTGGTGCTGCATCCTGGACTTGATCTTCTTCATGTCCAGCTTCCACTATCCCCTCAGCCACAAGTTGTTGTAGATCAGCTGTAGAGAAGTCTTCACAGTGGGACTCAAGCAGCTCTTCAACATCCTCACTCTTCACTTCTTCAAATCCAATTTGCTTTGCAAGATCAGCACAATGTTCTTTGATTCTTGGGAGCTCCTCTGACGGATCAAAGCCTTTAAAATCTTGAAACAAATCTAGGAGAAGCTTCTGCCAAGCTGCATGCAAGCAGTACTTCCTGACATCACCCCAGGCTTCCACGATAATGTCAATTACATTCTTGATGTTAAAGCTCTTCCAAAATTGAAAAACACTGTCCTTATCCCCCTCAGTGGCTGCAATCAGCCTCTTAAATATGCGCCTTAAATAATAAGCTTTAACGTAAAATGTAAATCACTGAGTACTGTACCTCTCACAGAAAGCGCTTCATGACAAAGTCTGCAAAATGATCATGTGATGCCTGTGCGGAGACTCTTTCAGCGCTAACATTGCACATGCTCAGGGCAAAGCCCTTGAAACAATCATGTGATGTCGACGCGTACTCCTCTTTGCACCTACGGAGTCACGATATAGCCAACACAAGTTCACATTTTAGAAATAACGTTCCCCTATTCATCAGTTGCATTATAACCAATTTGCATTGCCACAACACGCATTATAACAGAACCGACTGTATTCAGTGCCTTTCCAAATTAATCTTATACATTTTGGTTGGTCACAAATCAGAAACTCCCATGAGTAGGTGCAGATAATTGACCTCTTCAAAGATGCTTTGAGGACATTCCCAAAGGGCTTCTGCTGGCGTCCTGGGAATTTTCTGTTATGACCCAGTTCTGAGATAGGGAGGAGTACAGGGTTAAGCTGGTAAAAAGCAAAGTTGGGATTGCATTAAGTTCCTTCTATAAGAAGCA